GTTGGATTGAAGTATAAAAAGATAACTGGTATATCTGCTGTATATCTATCTTATTATCCTATATTTAGAGTTCTATGCATGATGTTGGATTAAAGTATAAAAAGATAACTGGTATATCTGCCGTATATCGGGATGAGTATAAGGTAACTTAATTTTTTTAATTTGCATGAAACTAATTTTCCGACCTTTTTCTAGTGTTTACCTACAACCGATTCTGTTTCTTTTTTCGTCAAATTTATTTATTTAGTTTTTTTTGGCATATTTTTTTATTTTAAATTTCTTAAATTAGAAAAAATCGCAAACTACCCCTTTATCTAAGGGTTTTTTAAGATGTTTAGCATTTCTTTCAAACAAACGGTCCTGCTATAGTAAGTTTTTTTTTCTTTTTATTTGACCAAGTGGTGAGGTAAAGAGGGAAAAGGGGGGCAGAGGGATGCGTTTTAGGAAATAAGAGTTTTAATTAGAGGCATTAATGAGAGATAAGCAATCATATTACACTCCTCATTTCATTAGTTTTTATTATAAAATTTCATTTACTCTTCCCATACACAGTTCCCCTGTTTTTATCGTATTTTCTTTCTTCATACCTTGGTCTTTTAATCATATTTTTCAAGCATTCCCTTATTTTTACTCATATTTCCTCCTTATTCCCTTGTTTTACTCATATTTCCTCCTTATTACCTTGTTTTTTACTCATATTTCCTCCTTATTTCATTGTTTTTTTTTACACAGATCCATTACGTTTTTATCATATTTCCAAACTTATTCTTTTTCTTTTTATCATATTTCTCCAATCATTACCTTGTTTTTTAGTCATATTTCCCCCTTATTTCCTTATTTTTTAATCATGTTTCCCCCCTTATTCCCTTTTTAATCATAATTCCCACTCATTCCCTTGTTTTTAATCATATTTCCCCTCATTCCAATGTTTTTAATCATTTTCCTCTTCATTCCTTTGGTTTGTATCGTATTTCCTCTTCATTCCTTTGGTTTGTATCGTATTTCCTCTTCATTCCTTTGGTTTGTATCGTATTTACTCTTCATTCCTTAGGTTTGTATCGTATTTCCTCTTCATTCCTTTGGTTTGTATCGTATTTCCTCTTTATTCCTTTGGTTTGTATCGTATTTCCTCTTTATTCTTTTGTTTTGTATCGTATTTCCTCTTCATTCCTTTGGTTTAAATCGTATTTCCTCCTCATTCCTTTGGTTTGTATCATATTTCCTCTTCATTCCTTTGGTTTGCATCGTATTTCCTCTTCATTCCTTTGGTATGTATCGTATTTCCTCTTCATTCCTTTGGTTTGTATCGTATTTGCTCTTCATTCCTTTGGTTTGCATCGTATTTCCTCTTCATTCCTTTGGTTTGTATCGTATTTCCTCTTCATTCCTTTGGTTTGTATTGTATTTCCTCCTCTTTCTCTTGAATCCTAAGTGTCTTCCAAAGGAATTGAATCTTTTTAGTTGATTCAAATTGAATTGTCCATTTTGGTGTTTTTCTTATTTCAATTTCATATTAGATAATATAAATGAAAAAATTACTCTCTCTCTCTCTCATTCTCTCAAACTAAACACCTTGGCTCCATGTGACAACCCAATAATTAGAAGCTGCTCCCTTCTAAATTTATAGTTCCTCCCCCCTCCCTTTCCTACCCCTTCCCCATCCTTTTATCCCTCCTCTTTCTATTTTAAACCCCCCCCCCCTTAAGTAAGACCTTGACAAAATTAATGTTTTAATATTCATTGCTAAGTTAATTATATAATTAAAGGGAAGGGTGGAATTAGACTTGTCTTCGCTACATACTATCCCTTCATCCCGACCAAGCAATTTTTGACCGCCATTTTTTCTTCTTTTTTTACAGACCATTCTACTTTTTTATTAACCGCCATTTTACCTGATATTTTTTTTTCTGTAAATTACAACAAAATGAGGTTCTCACAATTATGCCTCAGTTTTGTATCAATTGGGTGTTTTTTTTTTGTGTTGCAGCTCATGATCCTTAAATAAATCAAACACTTCCAGTAATTTGGAAAATCTCTAAAACCATTATTCAAATCATCAGTACAGAAAGAAAATGGATTGATGATAATACAATCTAAAAAAATTAAAATTAATAAGAATAAATTTTAATAAAAATAATTTTTCTCCAGAATTGTCGAATGACTTTCCGTCTCCTGGTGAAGTTTGATCGTCGGTCCATGACCCCTGCCGGTATTCATTTCTACAATGATTGGAGTTCGCTAAACTACATGTACGGTGTTGTAAATACATCATACCACGAGGTGAAATACATGTACGGTGTTGTAAATACATCATACCACAAGGTGAACCATATGTACGGTGTTGTAAATACATCATACCACGAGGTGAAATACATGTACGGTGTTGTAAATACATCATACCACGAGGTGAAATACATGTACGGTGTTACGAGGTGAAATACATGTACGATGTTGTAAATACATCATACCACGAGTTAAATACATGTACGGTGTTGTAAATACATCATACCACGAGGTGAAATACATGTACGGTGTTGTAAATACATCATACTACGAGGTGAAATACATGTACGATGTTGTAAATACATCATACCACGAGTTAAACTACATGTAAGGTGTTGTAAATACATCATATCACGAGGTGAAATACATGAACGGTGTTGTAAATACATCATAACTCGAGGTAAACTATATACACGGTGTTGTAAATACATCATATCACGAGGTAAACTACATGTACGGTGTTGTAAATACATCATACCACGAGGTAAACTACATGTACGGTGTTGTAAATATATCATACTACGGGGTAAACTACATGTACGGTGTTGCAAATACATCATACCACGAGGTAAACTACATGTACGGTGTTGTAAATACATTATACTACGGGGTAAAGTTTTCCTTTCTAAAAAACCTTTCACATTATTTTTGATTATGAAAAATTATTGTATTTTTTATAATGTTATTATTTTTTAGGACCAGCAACTCATTGCTCATCTGGAGTTTGAACCAGGACTTTATACGAATCAACAAATGAAAGTAATATAGTTTATGAAACATTGTTTCGTAACTTTCTTCTAAATTCGTAAACATCGGGCTAGATTTTTCATAAAGTATAGAGTCTCAGTGTACAGCTTAAAATATAATATTGTTTATTAAACTCGGCTAAACCTTTTTTGCTTTGTCTTTTTCTGATTTAACAATGCTAGACTTTTTAAATGGAAATATAATTTTTAATATATTTCAATGAATATGTTTAATAATGTCAAGTACACTGCTCGCTGAATTTTAACTTGAAAACAAAAACCTATCAAAAAGATTAAAAATCAGTTTTTTGGATTCATTTTTTCAATTTTTAATATTTTGATGTATGTGTTCCGAATCTAAATTCAGCATAAATGTCCAAGATGATGTGTAACATGAAAGTTTCAAAAAAAAATCTGTTTGTCTATCTGTTAATTTTTATATTTAGATTTTCGGTCGAACGGAAAGAAAAGTATAATCATTAAAATAACAATAATAATGAAAAGTATAATAATAATTCTAGGTTTCGGCCTGAGATAAATCTCTCCAACTTCTCTGATTGGAATATTCTAAACTCTAAATATTTCACTCAGGTTCAATATTTTCTTGATGAGCATGTTTTATCAGTGTACTTTTCAGTTTTAACAAAAAAATTGTGTTCATACGTAAAAATGAAATCTTAAGGCACCTATGTGTGCATTTTAATAGACAAGGGAGGGTCTTTATTTTTTCCCGCTAGCTTTTGTGCATAATGATATCGAACAGCAGGACAGGTTTACCAGTTTAATCATACCTGGAAAGACACTCACTAGACACAAGGAGAACGTTAAGTTTATGCGATATTTCTGTTACGATTTTGTGATTTCAACTAAAAGTTAAAATTACAAAAGTTTTTCATCTAAAACAAGGCTCTATATATATTATATACCTCTCCTGTTCAATACTAATTAACCAATTGCGTGTTAGTAAATAAATCCTCCGCAATTATACAACTATATTAATCTAATTGTATTGCTTTATTATTACATTATTACATTAACATAATCAGAGAGAAAACACTCTAAACTCAGATTATACTGAACCCACTTCTTAAATATTACATTACAAATATTAAATTTTAAATTTTAATCGAGTCCTTCGATTTTAGTTGACACATCATTCTTTCTTTCATCTTTAATCATAATCATAATCCGAATATTAATTTTAAGCAAGAGAAGAATGAAATTCAAAACTGTATAATATGAAATTTCTAATGAGCTTGAGTTTAGAATACACGCTGTTAGTCAATCTAAATATATTTTCTAGGTTTTAAGTATTGATCAAAATGGTAATGAAGCAACTCTTGAACTAGCTCAGCTGTTGGTCAATATAAATATATTTCCTAGGTTCTAAGTATTGATCATAATGTTAATGAAGCAACCCTTGAACTAGCTCAAGGTAGATACTCTTCAGATGCCATGGAAAATATATATCAGGTATCTTTTGGGAGTTATTGATCAATGGAAATTAAAAATTAATGATTAATTAATGTAAAAATCAATTGATTTACTATTTTTTTATTAAGAAATAAATTGTTACATTAACTGTTGAATGGATTAATTCATTGTTAGATTAATTGATTAATTGATTAATCTGTCATTGTAATTGCCATTGACCCTCAAATTCAAAAGGGTCTTGGCCCGATTCATAACGGTACCCTTGAACCTTTTTCCGATTGTTAATGTAGAATATATCGTTCTTTTCCTAGCGTGAAAAGTGTTTAATTCTGATAATTCCTACAATGTTTTCTTCCGTGATAGTCACTTTTGTAGAGAAACCAAAAACTGAACATGTTCGATTTTAAAATGATGATACTATCTTACCTTATCTCTGAGTCATTCTGTCAGGTCTCTGTTCACATTTCGAAAATTTTTCCTGAGTAAATTTGTGCTCTTTTTGCCGGCAACTAGCTATTGAAATGGCTGCCAGAGCCGATACTAGCGCCTTCTGTTCCCCTAGCGGTTGGTTAAATTTGCAAGGCGCCAAATTCAAATATCTCAGAGATAAAGTACATATTATCAACTCTCTAAAATTAATTCAAGAGATTGATGAAAATAGATCTGATTCCTATTCGATCCTACAGATATGTTAAGGGTACTGTTGTGAATCTGAAATATCAATTCATAAATAAAAGTTGACTTAGAATTACGCTTACAGATCATTAGATGTAGGTTGAATTTAATTTGTTTAGGAGTACAGGGATTTATATGGAGTTCTCAGCGTAAAATCTAAACCTTTTCATGTAAGCATTGTAAACAATTATAAAAGTTCCAAAATGAACTGAAAGATATTTAATACATCAAAAATATATAAAAGTAGTAAACTCAAAATGATAACTTTATCTTGACGTTTTTACAGTTTCAACATAATTTTGATTTTTACTATTGATTGAGAATGGAAACGTGTTTTAAACATATTTTTACTATTAAATTATATATAGACTCTTCTTAATAAAGGAATCAAAAAATAAATGTACATACATTTCACAAATGATGTACTCTTTTCAATCCTAAAGTTATATCCTAAAGTTATAATAATAATTTTCGAAAATGTGATAATTTGTACTCTATCAAGGAGTTTATTTCTCCACCAAAAACCAAAAATATACAATTTTTTATTTTTCTATCGTAGTTGTTATTTTTCAAAAAATTTTAGTTAGGAGACCCAAGCACAGTTCCCAGAGACGGTCTGCACACTCTTAGGAAATTAAACCAAAAAAATATGAAAAAATAATGAAATAAAATATTTCGCTTCACATATGAAGAAAATTTAATTTTCCCCTGGTTTACATTACGTGTTAGAAGAACAATCTGGGTTCCGGTAGAGGAGAACCAAAAGGTTTTTTTTAGACTTTTAAATTTTGTTTAGAAGGATTGTTATAAGAAAAAATAATAATATTGATAATAAAAATAATAAGTGTGGTCTTCATTAGAAGTATACTATAGTATAGTCTTTATTTGTGTGGTCTTCATTAGAAGTATACTATAGTATAGTCTTTATTTGTGTGTTCTTCATTAGAAGTATACTATAGTATAGTCTTTATTAGTGTGGTCTTCATTAGAAGTATACTATAGTATAGTCTTTATTTGTGTGGTCTTCATTAGAAGTATACTATAGTATAGTCTTTATTTGTGTGGTCTTCATTAGAAGTATACTATTGTATAGTCTTTATTTGTAATATGCCATAAGTGTATTGTTTAATTTTTATCAATTTATGTGGTTTAGAAAGATTATTATGTGGTTTCACATTCTGAATACTAGAATTAAAGTATGGGTATGTGGTGCTTTCTTTGAGGTCTTTATTAGTATTATACAATAGCTAGTGATGTGGGTTTTTAGTATTTATTATAAGTTTGTTCTTTCGTGGTGCTCTTTATTAGAGGTATGGTGGGATTGTTTTTTTTTATTAAAGTACAGTGCAAAAATTTAATTTTTACATGGTAGTCTTTTTTCTTTCTGGTATTTTTAATGTTTAAGATATTTACCTCAAATAAAAAGCAATTGCATTTTTCTATGCTAAAAACGTATCTTATAATCTTTTTTAAAACGTACATTTTAAACCTTCAACTCTTCATGTTATTAAAATTTTTTATATCTTTTATTGTAAAATATGCAAAAACAATATTTTTTTTTAAAGCCAGCACGTATTTTCATAGCCACGCACCTCTGACCCCTCAGTAAAAGTAAATCCTTAAGTCTGACCTCGTCAACCTTGTTGCACCAGTTGCACCGGCTAGTCCTATTGAGTGTCTGATTTATTTACCCAATGTCCAGGCGATACAATACAAACTGGGACCGGAAAGGTTAACCCGGCTTGAAATTCAAATGCACTACGGCTGCCCGTGTAGCAATGCAAAAATTATACATTTTCACGTTTCAATCAAAGTTAAAGTCGCTTTTTTTCCGATGTACTTTTTTTTGGACATTTTGTATGTTTACTTAAAATGTCCAATATAGTTAAACGTAATCCAGCTATTGGTCACAGATAGGGCTGGGCGCGAACGGAACGATCAAGAACGATCCCATCGTTCCGAAAAAAAACGAACGCTTAGAACGCGTTCTTAAAAATATTGGAACGATTAGTAAAAGAACGGAACGGAACGGAACGGGAATTGCTTGAAAAGAACGGTTAAAATCGTTAACGCGTTCTTATTATCAAGAACTTGTTCTAAGTTGGGAACGCATTATGCCAAGAACGGAACGGAACGGGAAGACCGTTCTTCTACTCAGAACGGAACGGAACGGGACGGAACGGGACGGAACGGGACGGAACGGGACGGAACGGGACGGAACGGGACGGAACGGAACGAGAACGGAACGATAAAAAAGAGGAACGAGAACGGAACGATTTAGCTGAAGGCCCTCGTTCTAGAACGGAACGGAACGATTTCAAAAAAGTCGGAACGTGCCCAGCCCTAGTCACAGACAGTTCGGAGTAAATTATATCAATTGGAAATATTCTGATGCGAATAAGAATGTTGTCAAAACCAAAACAGAGAAATTACAATTAATTATTCTTCTAGAAAAATTATTTTTCCATTCTACGTTTCTTGTATCTTCTGTAAAGCAAATTCTACATTTCGTTGCTAAACATTCTTACAATTGATAACTTTAAGTAAATTTTAACAATAAAATTAAATGATCTCAAAGTACTTCCGAAATGTTGAGTTCGAGCTAAAACAAATCAGACATTAGTCAAAAACTGAGGCTTTGAGGTATTTTGTTTAAACAAAAGTGAATTTAAGTATTGAGTATGCAAACGCAATACATTTTTTAAAATCCCTTTTAAAATCTATCCGCACTAAAATAAATGTTCTTAAAACTGCCATTTTTAATAAATCTCTATCTCTTTTTCGAATAAACTTTTTCCTTATCCATGTTTATTTTTTCTTAGAGAAAGATTAAAAAGATTTTCTGGAATAAAGAATAAAGAGAATTATTCTGTATACTTAGATATATAAGCATGTGAGTTTCTCGCTTTTATAAAAGGATCCTGCAAATAAAAAAGGGTATGTACACTAATATATCTTAATGAGTGAATTATGAAAAGTACAACGTCTAAAGAGATCATTAAAATAATTTGCCATTCTTAAATGGAAGGAACTAAACACTCAAATTCTTATTTTTAACACATTCAATTATTTTAAAATGAATTTTACTGGATCTATTTGGCACAGTTTGAAATATTCACATAATCAGGTTGCAAAGATATACATATTTTAAAAATAGAGTTTGGGGCAAATGTTCATTTCTTTTATGTACTTTTTGAAATGTCAAAATAAATAGGCAGTAGTGAAATAGTAGCTTAAAAGGCCTAGTTCAAGGTGGAATGCTTTAATTCATGCATCATTAAATAGGGATGTTTAGAAAATAACAATTTATTCATCCCTGTTTTCAAATTCAATTTTTTCCCCTAAATATTAAGAACATATACATACATATCTATCTATCTATCTATCTATCTATCTATCTATATATATATATATATATATATTTGTCTTTTTTTCGAACACCCCGGGGTTGGTAGGCCTATATCAAAGCTAGGCCTAGAAACAAAAGGCATTCCAGATGTCATTCTTATCTAAACAAATCAAATTACATCTTTCCAGTCTACATCCCCCCCCCTTACCAACACCTTACATCCCCCCCATATTATCCCCCCCTCTCGCACACAAAATATCTAATGTACGGTGGAGATCACTTTTCGTTAAATACCTCCTTTTAAATCGGGACACAAAGTTTAATGATCAAGATATATGGTTTTATCTGTTATAAAGAAAATGGTATAGGTGTCTCTAGTAAAGTTTAGGAATGCTCTGGGAAAGAAATGAATTGCTTAAAAACATCTTTTTTTTAAACTTTGAATTAAAGTATGGATTCAGTAATATATGACTGATGGACCTCCTTCCTCATATTTTTTGGCAACCCAGCGTGATTATACCAATTCTAAATCAGTTTAGGTTAATATAGATGGATACTGCATAGATAGTCATACCAACACATTTTATATACCCATGTATACTATTTATTGATTTAAATATAAAGAAAATTGTAAACAAAATTTTACAATTTAAAGATCAAAATTACATGATGCATAAAGTTAATATTGGTTTATCTGGGTTCCATTTAGAATTTGTTATTGGGACTCACTGAATCTCTGATATCTATCTTTTATTTATATCTTTACGATTTAACAACATGTGAGTGCCCTTACGAGCTCATATACCCAAGGACTACAGTCTACATTGATCCAATGCTGTTCAATTTCAGTTCTAACTGATACACAGGGCTCACCAGTAAACATAAGACTGTTAAAAGGGGCTTATAGTGGAATGAGGAGGAAGGGTGATGCACAGGGCTCACCAGTAAACATAAGACTGTTAAAAGGGGCTTAGTGGAATGAGGAAGAAGGGTGATGTACAGGGCTCACTAGTAAACATAAGCCTGTTAAAAGGAACTTAGTGGAATGAGGAGGCAGGGTGATACACAGGGCTCACCAGTAAACATAAGACTGTTAAAAGGGACTTAGTGGAATGAGGATAAAGGGTGATGTACAGGGCTCACCAGTAAACATAAGACTGTTAAAAGGAACTTAGTGGAATGAGGAGGCAGGGTGATACACAGGGCTCACCAGTAAACATAAGACTGTTAAAAGGGGCTTATAGTGGAATGAGGATGAAGGGTGATGTACAGGGCTCACCAGTAAACAATATAAGAGAATAAGGAAGGGTTTAAACGATCATGAATGAACAATGGACATGTTATCTCTTTCTTTCTGATAAAACCAATAAATCTAGATATTAACCGTCAAAAATATGGTAGAATCTCATCTGTTCTCAGACTGTGGTATCTCTTAACAAATCTGAATAAAACTTTTTATTTAGTTGTTTGATACACAATCTATGATATGTTAAAATTAGATAATAATATCTCCATTTTTTGCTCTTTCAAACATTCAGGGGTGTTTATTAAAGTTAAGAAATATAAGATAGGAATATAAGCCATCCTTTTTAACAAAACAGTCGTCTTTGCATGAATGCTTCCGAAGATATCAGCAGACCCAGTTTAGTTTGTCATTTAACATTAATTTTATCCCTGAATTTAGACGTCTCATCAAGAATTGGCTGGTTCTGAATCAATATGAACTAATAAAGTTTTTGTCTATAAAAACTCTTGACATAGACCGAGAATGTCGCTTTTTTGGGTCCTTCAGGGTGGGCCGAATACTTAAAGAATGCTCTAAAAATAAAATAGACATTTTAAGAACGAGTTCTAGGTTTTGTAATTAGGTAGTTAGGAGGAAAATTCTAGTTGTATAAAGATACAATATCAGATCTACATTGTACAAAGATGCAATTCGTAGTAGGTAGTTAGGAGGAAAATTCTAGTTGTATAAAGATACAATATCAGATCTACATTGTACAAAGATGCAATTAGTAAACCATGCTCGGTCCAAACTCTTTATCTGGAATATTTTGAAAATCCGCAAAATGGAGTTTGAAAAATACACCATCAATGAGTTTTATTTATTAAATCCATGGGATTGTCTATACAGTTTAAAGTGATTCTGCATCTTATGCATACAGTTTCAGTAAGAAAAAAATAATAACTCCGATCAGTTTAAGAGTAAGTAAAAGAAGCAAATTTTACAAGCTACCAAGCTGGAAAAAGATAAATGCTACAAAGAGTAATTTAGTAGATT